CTCTGCTTCCTCCCGGCTCCCCTCCTCCCTGGAAGAGCATGAGGCCCACAAAGTCCTTGGCCAAACCAAAACATCATTGTTTTCAGCTCTGTTCCCAGCTGAAAGTCAAAACACAGCACTGCACCAGCTACCAAGAAAGAGAAAAATAACTGCCACTGCTAAACCCAGGACACCTGACAGAGGGGAGACTGAGATGAGCTCTTAGGCAGAAGTTCTTCCCTGTGAGGGTGCTGAGGCCCTGGCACAGGCTGCTCAGAGAAGCTGTGGCTGCCCCATCCCTGGCAGTGTTCACGGCCAGGATGGACAGGGCTTGGAGCAACCTGGTCTAGTGGGAGGTGTCCCTGCCTGTGGCCGGGGGTTGGAACTGGATGAGCTTTAAGGTCCCTTCCAACCCAAAACATTCTAGGAATTTATGAAACACCGCCTGCACACTTGCAGCAGACACTCAACCACTGAGCCTTTGACTTGAGCACTCCCAGGATTCCAGGCCACCAGTAGAAGTTAATGTAACCAGAGCTATGTGAAGGAACCTGTTAAACGCAAGGAAATCAAACAGGAGCTTTGGAACTGCAGTTGGTTTTGCCAGCCCCGTCCTTAAGCTGACATTTTGAATGGTTTTGAACCAAGCTTCAAAATCTTTGTGGCAAGATAATTCCCAGACATCTGCCTGTATGGATCATAATTCGGGAAGCTGTCATCTGCCAGAGAGAGCTTTCACCATGGAGATCCTTGGGGAGGCACTGGAAAGCCTCATGGATTCTGACACAGGACCTCATTCAGATTTTTGTTAAGCAGAAAGGGAGCTGCAGTGGCAGATGGAAGGAAATAAAACCTGTGCCATCAACCCTGTCCCTCTCCCATGACACTTCCCTCTGCACGAGTGTGATAGTCTCTCACGAATGAGTGACAAAGTGATGTGCACAGCTTTCACTGCAAAGCACATGCATTGACTCTGTACAGTGAAGGAAGTTACCAAAACGTGTACAGAGAATTAACCTCTTGCAGCTGCAGTCAGTCACACTGATAACATTAGGAATGGAGTAAAGATCTGCTCACACACTGGCCCAGGAAAGAAAGTTCCTACATTTAAGCAAACTGCACCAGTCTCTAGGTTTTTCTAATTATCAGCCTGCAAATAATAGCATCTGCCTTCTACACAGCAATACCCCACACCTGCATACAGCCTATGAAAGTCAAGCGGCTTCTTTCAGACATTACATTTCTCTGTTTGGCATTGCTGCTTTGAAATTCAACTGCAGCCTACAGTTCCTGGGCGGTCACCCACCTTCCAGAGTAAAAGAAATCATAAACCACTGTGCTGTGTCTAAAAGAATTACAATACATTTATACACACACAAACATACGCACACACATGTGATGCTATGGAGTATCAACAGGGAGGACCATTGCCCCTTCTCCTCCAACCTATGATGGGTGGATGGGATATACTCCAGCTTCTCAAGCACATACTCTCCTGCACTGAGAGAACACTGCACAACAGAGAAGATGCAGGTGTAGGCAGAGGTGCAACAGGGCTCTTCCAGATGGTGCATTTCCATCTGCAGAGCAGCAGAGCGCCTCCCCTGCTCCATCATCCCATGTGCCAGACATAGCCAGCTCACATCTAGGGAAAGGAAAGACAGGACCATGCTGCTCATGTGCTCAGCATGGAACCATCTGTAAGAACACACAAAACCAGAGCCACCTATGTGAATCTCACTTTCTGCATGCAAGGCCTGACAGAGCAGTTGTACTCCTTTATAATCCTGGATTCCCTTGTGTTGTCACGAACCACACATATGCATGGCACAAAGAAATTCAGCTGACTTGTCTGCAAGATGTTGCCTCTGTACACTGCAAGGTGACCCCATGTCTTTAGATCAAGGGGTTTATTTAAGAAAATATCCCTTGTTTGGCTGTCTCTATATCCTCCAATAAAATATGTCACACTATCAATCAGATTTCTTCCTCCTATTCACCTTTCCACACCAAATAGTTCTGCTCTTTTTAAAGTTCTCCATATGCAGTTTCTCCTCCCTAGGCACTGGGTAATTTCCATTGCTGTACTCTGGACCTTTTTTCTCATACAACTGCCTCTTTTAATCTCTCATCCAGTGAGGTGCAGTTATCTGCCAAGAGATTTTCAGGAGGAGGAAAAAGATTTTCCACATCTTTAATTGTATCAAGTTGGGATTGGCGAAGAGCTGCCTTCTCCCCTAGTATCTGCATCCCCTTATTAAACAGATTGCCTTCATCAGTGTTCATCACAGCCAGCCTTGACCTGACCCTCTTCTGAAAGAGGAAGAATGCCCGAGGCTTGTAATTGCTCCTCTGCTTTGCATCATCTCTGTAAGGAACCATGGGAAATCACATCTGACAACCAGAAGGAATGAAGAAGGGAAGTGCAGACCCCAAGGAATGAAGCTACGGGAGGGCAGACAGCATCAGCACTCAAGTTTGTTATGTATAAAACTTCTTCGAGTTCAAAAAAGGTTGGGAGGGGAAAAAGGAGGGGGAAGAGAGCAGGAAGCAGACAGGAGAAAATTCCTCATTGAATTGTAAAGTGGTCCACCAAAATGTGGGCTCTGGGTTACTCAAGTATTACTGGTGAGCAGCTATGGAAAATGTCAGGTAGGAATCATATGACAACAGCACAGGCAAAAGTCAATAGACAGAAGGCTCTCATCAGCCATCTGCAGGCCTGGGCTCAGAAAAAAGACCACAAGCGGGATGCTCTTGGGGCTAATTAAGGGAGCAGTTCTGCACAAGGCAGATGGCAATCTTCTTGACTGACAGCCAGAAGCAGGGGCAAGATAATGTTGCAAGAAACCAATCTGAACAATTACAGGGAGAGTGAGATGGGCACAGAGAAAAATTAAGTTCCACAGCAAACACAAAGCAAGAGGCTCCTCTTCCTGCTGGAGGGCTCAGGCTGTGCCCCCATGGGAGGTCAGGCAGCACTGTCCTCAGATGTACGGCATGGCACAGCACAGACTGCGGGGGTCACCCTAGGTTTTGTCTAATCCCAAACTCCCTTGTTACCACAGTTTATGCGGGGGTGGGGGGTGTAACAGACCATTGTTCTAACCCGCTTGTGCCAAATCCAAAGCCTACTAAATCCCTGGAGAGATCCCCACTGGCGTTCCCGGTGTTTCAGTCAGTATGTGGACACAAGTGGTAAGACTGAATGGGGCACAGCAGCACATACATCATCTAAAATTAATGGCATACGTGCCAGCTGAGAATGATAGAATCCCAGACTGGTTTGGGTTGGAAGTGACCTTAAAGCTCATCCAGTTCCAACCCCCTGCCACAGCAGGGACACCTTCCACTAGACCAGGTTGCTCTGTCTGACTGAATCTGACTCAGCAGACTGAAGTGTCATACACAGTCAAGTAAAGCTGCTATAAGGCAGTATATGCTTTGTCTGGGGTTTTCCTAAAGGCAGATCCAAAGTGTGCAGTCAAACAGTTTCTGTGGCAAAGCCTAGGACTGATGAGGCAAGGCAGAAAGGGGGTGGCAGCAGATATCACCTCTGCAGGGTCTTCAATCTCACAATCATTTTTGCTTCTCTCCCAACTTCATTTCTCCCCTGTCTCCTGGTTGGTAACTCAAGGGACCGAGAAAATGGTAGTAGGATGCCAGGCAGAGCCTCATCCCATTTGCACAGAGCAGGAACTTCCCACATTTCTGTGCATATCCCCAACCCACAGTGGTTGCCCCAGTGTACACAGTCCAGCTGCCCATCTGATAAAAGTACATAAACCCAGGCTCTCATACAGTTTTTCCAGAATAAAACTGACATTCCCACCTAGAGTGCCTTTGGGCAGTTGAAAAGCATCTGGGGCATTTGATAAGAATGGACGCTAATCTGATAGAAATACACAAGGCTGGCACACAAAAACAAACTACTTAAAAGAAATCCTATTGGCTGTGAGAAACCACAAGGAAGGTGCATGAGCACTGCGGCTACAAGGTAGGCTCAAAACATGTTACTGCTAAGATTTCTTCACTACTTTTTTTTTACTTCAGTGTGCTGGGCTGTGAAGCTTAGGCCAAGCTCCACCTCCTGATGAAATACTTAAGAGCTGCCTACGCTGTTTTTAGCCAGAGCTCTTGTGTCCGCACACAAGCAGGGGCTGACCGGGGATGTTCTCCAGTGTTTGGTTTACAACAGGCAGACAATCCCCCATTGCAGAACAGTTTACAAAGACCACAGACAACTAGTTAGATCCATTATCTGAAATTTAAGAAATTCTTGCTCTTGATAGACAAGAACAATGGGTTTGTATTACTTGTGACCTGAAAGCATTACAGTTGGTACATTATTGTGTCCTTCCTTGCTAGAAGTCAGGGCTGAATTAGAGGCTGATTTGGAGTTCCCGAACTTTGACTCTAACAGAAGAAAGGGTGAGTGGGAAGACAGTATCTTAAATGCTCGGAAAAAAAGTGAAAATTGTATTTTCACTGCTAGGGAGCTTCCACTGTTTTGTTTATGTATGTCTTCAGTCACAGCACTGGCTATCTCCATTCAGGTAAAATTCCCAAAGGAGATTGATGGGATTTGATAGAAAATAAATTAACCTAGAATTACAGGGTATAATGCTCATAATCCACCTTTTAGCACAGAGTTGAGCCAGGAAGTTAAGGATAAGCCTTTGACAAGATGTCTGCTGTTCTCCCACTAGATCCTTACAGTAAGCCACCAGCTTAGACAGAGGAAAGTATCAAGATGCTGCTATATTGGAGCCATCACTATTTCATCAATATAGTGGATAATACACTACTTATATGGCTTTGAAGACTCCAAATGAGGGAAAGGAGTTTCTGAAGACAAAGAGAGAGGATGTAATTTGGAAAATAAAAGCAAAACATATACCGAGAAAGGAATGGGTGTTATTTTGTCAGGACACAGAGCAGGGTGGATATAGCAAATGCAAATCCAGGAAAAAAAAAATATTGCTTTCTGAAAGAACAAGACAAGAGATTTTTTAAAAATGTTTTTTGGGGGAGGGGTGTTCTTTTTACTTTGTTTTGTTTTCCTTTTTGTACCTTTATTCAATTTCAAAGTCTCCATTACAGATTCTTCTGTCTTCAAGATTTGGTAAGCTGGACAGAAAGATACATATTTTGGTCCTGTACGAGAGGGATAAAGTTCCATTACCTGAGATCTCTTACTCACAATGGATTTTTTTTTCACTCATCTTGTTTCCCAAGGCATCTTTGAGATGGGTATCAATAAATATCAGACAGTAACCAGCTAAACAGTCTGTTAGCTACTTTATTCATCAGTTGGTGAAAAATATGAACAAACTACATACAACAGCACCAGCAGAAGAAAATACCATTTATTTCACTGTGACAGATAAATGTGCACTGCTAAATGTAGATTTTGCAGATCTTTTGGTTTCTGAGTTCATAGGACTCATTTCCATTGCTTCTCAGTGGCTCTTTCTCATCTCCCATGTCATTGTCTTTCATCTGTGGAAAATAGGCAGGAGAAGCTTTGCATTCATAGTGCCTGTCAAGAGACTTCAGGTGGATCAACATATGAAGAGCGTAGGCAAGAACTAGCAGCAGAATGAGCGACATAACCAATCCCATAAGTATTGCTGGAGAGAAAAAGGACGCACAGTCTTTTGCATAGCCAAAGTGTCCTTCTTGAATGTTAAAACCTTGAATCTACAAAGAGAGCAAAAGGGTTGCATCTTAGCTACAAATTCATGGATTTGCTTCTGATGGCAGTAAGACTTTTTAATTTAACACATGTGTATTGCAAAACTGTATTAGTGCTAGCTGGAGTTAACATTCAGTTTATCCAGGTAGGTCTTCTAGAAACTGCCAGCTGTTCTAATCTCCATCGCTCTGCAGCCCAAAGGATTTGCACTTATGTTTTCAACAGTCTTCAATGATCACTCCTAATAGTCCTGTAATATTTAATTCTAAGTGTAGTAACTTTCAAGTTAATGGGTTCATATCCAGCATCACTTGTTGAGACTCTTCAGAGTCTCTGTTTCAAACTGCGTAAAATTCAGTGTGGCAAACAAAGAAATATTTTCAATTGCCTATCCTAATACTGTCTTTTTCTCATCAGATCCAAGTGTACGGTATATGTTAGCAAACCAGATAAACCACTCAAAATTGCACTCAACTTGTGGCTAATACCAGTAAGTTTGACTTGTGGCTTCAGTTCTAACATGAAGTTTACCACACTGGCATTCAGAGAATTGATTGACTCCTCCACTAAATCAGTCCATGGGCATTTATCACATGGTGAAGAAAGGGAATCACCTTCCCCCCAAAATCCTCTTCTCAGCTCTTCATGCCCTGTTACTTAGGTATCTAAAAGCAACACATCCTACTCCAGTCATCTCAGGCTCCCTTACTGCCAAACACAGAAAAACAGGCACTTTCAGAAGATCATAGAATCATAGAATAGTTAGGGTTGGAATGGACCTTAATATCATCAAGTTCCAACTCCCCTGCATAGGCAGGGACACCTCACTCTAAACCATATCACCCAAGGCCTCGTCCAACCTGGCCTTGAACACCACCAGGGATGGAGCATTCACAACCTCCCTGGGCAACCTATTCTGGTGCCTCATCATCCTAACAGGAAAGATGATCAACTTCATCCTAAAATAAGGACTTAAGATGAGTCAGAGGAATTATCCACAGGCTTTAAAGGCAGGTTGAGGTGACTATAATAAGGGCACAAGGTTAAAATCACTAGGCATTGAAGGCTAAGTGAAATGAGCCCCATACCTGGTGACTTATGCTGTTACTGATGCTGGGTTTAAGAGCCCAGTTCAGAGATAGAACACCAAAAGTTAAATTCACTCCCTACATCAAAGGGAAATCCAGGCAAAAGACTACAGAGTATCTATAAAGCCCTTCATTTCCTTTGACAGGAAGGTTAGGTATAATAATTGAGGTCTTCATTTATATTTCAAGTTCCATGGAGATCCTGTACACTGTACATGGAAGGCCATCATTTTTTCTTGGCAGCAAAATTTCCCACCAATCTACCTATGGGATCCACTTGTCTTATTTCCATTACATTACCTGGAAACCAATAAAAGTGACTTCCCAAAGCTTTGAAAGATCATTTGCAGAGCTGGGTATGAGAAGTGCATCATATCTCTGCAAGCTGCTCACATGTTCACAGTGGTAGGAGTAACTTGCTGGTGCATATATTCTGGTTGCATTAAACGTCGCTTGTATGGAATGGTTGTAAAGAAGCTGCAGTCTGCGTAAGCTGAACTGGTTCTGAACAGACAGCTGGTAATAGCTGGTTGTTAATAAGAATCTGAAATATTGTATGGGAAGAAAAATGAGAAGTCTGAATAAGAGTTGCACTATCAAATTCACAGGTTGAACAACCTTATTAAGACTGTGTGTATATATATTTCATGTATATATATGTATAAATGTATCACTATAAAGCTCTAGCTCCTTCTATTGAGTGATTTGAGGTTCTTGCTTGTTGCAGCTGAAGGAGTTACTTTGCTGCTTTCCCTCACAGTGAGAAGAAATACGAAGGATTCTTCCTAAAAGACAGAGAAAAATCTATATCCAACATTGGTCTTGTACTTCCATCCAAGATACATAAAACTGTCTATCAAGAAATGCTGGTTTCTTCTATCACCAAGAAGCAAACATAAAATAGGCCATAGTCTGATGCTTGAGTGGCCCTCACTATCAGCTCTTGCGGCAAGATTCCCAGACAAAAATGTAGCTAATTAGCAAGGTTTAGCAAAAATCTCAGACATGGGAAGATTCTGCACAAACGAGATGACCCGAATGATTCTCATGAATAGAAAAGTCAACACAGAAGAAATTCCTTAATAAAACAGGGCAGGAAAATGACAGACCTGTTCAATGCAGGGGTCTCAATTATACAATCACCAGTTTCTATCACGTTATTTTGCTTACACAAGTTCTGAAAAAACTCCTCAAGCAACTGCATAACAATGTACATTAACATGTGATTATCTAATATTTTCTTTATCATATAAACTTACCGGATAACAAGTCCCTTTAGATTGCCAATGTCACCAAAGTTCAGAGAAAGCCTAGGTCAAAAAGCAAGTATCGTGAGGCTAGATAAAAACTTCAGAGATCTTGAAAGCAGCACAAAAGATGAAGCATAGTTACAGATGGAGCCTTTCGCTCATTATGCTTTTTAAGTCAATGGAAGAAAAACTGAAAGGATTAAATCTTCCACCTGTGAATTCCAGTAGTTCACCTTTTGATGTGAATGAGGCCTAGACTATCCAGAAAGAACAGAACTGCATGTTCACCTTTCAACACAACTCGATCCTGCTGCTTCCAGCATTGGCTAACAATTAGGTTCATTTGATCTGTGTTCTCTTTCACAAGCCATGGCATGTATCTCAAGTCATGCATCACCTCTGTATACCACTAGAAACTGTTAAGAGGCACATTATTCTCATCTTTTTAAATACTAGAGCATGAAAAAAATGCAGATGACATTTCAGATTTCACAGATATGCATCACTAGAGCACTTTCTACAGAAACATCTTTAGATGCAGAGGTGAAATGTTGTATAGGAGCTAAAGGAAACTGCTGGGTTTGGTCATGTTATTTTTATTGTTGTGTGTCATTACATTTTTAAACATGGTTACGGAGTAGACCCAATGCTCATGTTCAGCATATGCCCAGTGAGGTACCCACTTCCTAATTTTTAGTCTTACCTACCAGAATGCAATCAATGACATGGTATTACACATGAAGCCAGCCAGCACACTATGTGGAGGGAGAGAAGTGGTCAGGTACATGACAAAGGAAATAAAAATAAGTACATGACTTTCTATTATAGCCATGGGATTGGAGAATTTTGAATTCAGTTAAGTTAATACATAGGTCTCCCTCAGGCTTAGCACAAGCAAAGCTGCTGAATGCTGCTCATCCTGAAGAAAATCATGACAGACTACGTTGTAGAGTTCACAGGTTTGAAGACTTTTCAGGTCACATGCAAACCTCTAGTGAATTGACTTTGGCTTCAGCAACTCTTGGCACTACTGAGACTTAGGGCCACCTGTTTCTAAATACACATCTGTGTCTTGTACCAATGGTTTACATTACTGCTGACACATATCCTGTGAGAAGATAAGTAGTCATGTGCAGCCAGCCCCTAGGACCCCACATTCAGCATCAGATCCACCACTCAACCTCCTAAGAACCTACATAAACCAGCTAGAGAGTAAAAAGATAACAGCTTCAGCTTCACAAGCAGTAACAGCAAAACTGATTTGTTAAAAGAATTGACTGTAAGAAATGAACGCAGCTGTGTGTGTCTACGTGTCCCATGAAAGACTGGTCTGAAAGTATATAACCCACGCTGCCCTGCTGCCTGCAATGTCAGGACATTATAGGAAGGAGCTTGCCCATGGGACTCTATACCATATAATACAATGTCAGTTAACCTTCAATATGTATTTACTAGACTCATTATCTGGTACTAGTTCACTTGGCAGAGTACAATGCCACCTTACACTGCATTGTCTTCACTGCAGCTTGACTCTCCAACATCCACTGTTGCATGGACACCAAAAGTCTTCTCTGTCAAATCCAGCTGCGTGTGGTTTTCAAACTTAATCATGATTCTCTTGGCCCAGAACAGAATGCAGGGGATGCCATTGACCGTGACGTTGAGAGGGCTGTAATAGCTGTGGATGGCTGCTTTTTCCCACTGTCCTTTCCTGCTCAAGTTGTAGCTGACAACCTGAATTGACCACATAAAAGATCAGTATCAGAAGATGCATATTTCAGGAGTTACTCTCCATCCTACCAATATAATAAATAAATGAGGCCAGCACTTTGAGAGCATCTGTGGAGCCAGTTCTCAGCTGCAGCAGTAATAAACTGAGAAAGCAGAGAAATCTCTGGCTAACCCCTTCTTGTCACAAGAATGCCACTCTACATAGACGTCTAGCTCCAGCACAGCTGCCAGAGAGCCAGCAGAAGTTACATTTATTACTAGGGTAGTATCACTGGCGTAAAACACATTCTTATCATGCTCCCATCTCACCCAGCACACCTACAGCTGCCAAATATAAAAAGTTGAAGCAAAGCCAGAATCATAAGGTGCTTACCTCAGCAGAGGACTCTCTACAACACCTGTAAAAATTATCTCAACACATTAAAGAGGACTCAGTTTGGGACAAGGACACAGCCTAGCATGCAGAAAGCACACTGGGCAGCTGTCCAGATGAAAGAAAATATCCAAGTCTACACCTATTTGCACAGAGTTTGGCTCCTAATGGCATTAAAATTGGGAAAATGCCTGCTGCAGAAAACAACACTCAAAAAAAAAACAGTCATCTGCTAGATTAAAACCTGGGGATTGCAGTTTCTATGTTATCTGTAGACACTAGAGAAATACTATTTCTTCTAAGCCACATTTCATAGCCAAAGGAGGCCAATCTAGCTGTGAGACAACATATTTTGAGACAGTGAGTTAGGGCTTAGAAAGGACTTCAAAATTTAACCATTTCCATATTTCAAACTAAGCTTTCCACACACCATCTTTTTTCTATCTACATATATGTCCTACCCAAATCTGGTAACATAATACAATGTCTGCATGTCATATGACTAAGCAAGTACAAATCATGCACAAACAAGAGAGGTACTCTCAGCCAATAAATTGCATCTTGCCAGGCTCCAGAAGGAAAGTAGTTAAGCCCCAAAGCTTTGTCTTGACTTCAAGAGAAATTTCTTTTTGCATTCAGTTTAGGGAATCATGTCTCCCTGCTCAGACCCTGAATGACCCCTTTACGTATGGCACAAGACTGCTTTATGATTAAATTAGGAAGTACTTACAGCAACAAGCTGAAAGCAAGGTAAGATCATGCATGGTCAGAAAACATGATGAAACATTGACTATGACTATCATTTGTATAAATGATAAAACTGTCTTCTCAGAAGTACAGATGAGACAGAGTTGATCAGTAGATTATTTACATGAGATTGCATCACTTAGAGGGTTTTTGGTAAGGAAGCTTTTGTGCTCTGTTTCTAAAAGACCTACTGGCTGGACTCCGGAAAAACTCCCACTAAATTCGAACAATCTGCAGTTTTGCTTCATCTGTTCTTTCAGTACCAAGTGATATAAGCAAAATACTGGCCACAGCAATCAAATGGCATTATACAGAATATGTATGACAGGATTTGGTTCCTTCAGTAAGATCCTGTGCCCAAACCCACTGCCACTCAGCACCAGCAACACCAACTGAAGTCTCAGATGGCTTCTCCAAAAAGCAGATGTCTTGTACAGCAGGCTGTGATTCAGCACCATATCAGAATGACAGGGACAGTTTTGCTGGCTATTTCTTGTAAACAACTCATTATTTAATTCAATAATGTAAATTAAACTAATGTGCTATGAAAAAAAGTTTACAGATCCAGCCCTTCAAACATTACCTGTGTAACTGATATTTGATTTACATTCAGTTTTGGCTTCACACCACCATCATAATGTTCACCTGCAGAAGAAAATGTGTTATTACCATACGAAAAAATATCCAATCATTTGTAAAAGCATAATTTTGCAGGTTCCTATGCAAATAATAATTACACCTGCACAAAAATGTGCTTTTCAGAATACCTGATTCTGTTCTGGAAATTATGTGGATTGGTGCTTCAATATATGCATCTTCTAGTTTACTTGTACATCAGGATTCCTCTTCTTTTCATTGATCATATTGCCACCCCTACTGGGAAGAACTTCAGTGCCCAGAAATGACAGGATTCTGCCTATATATGTATTTATTCACCCCAAATACACTTTACAAAAGCTTCTTCTTTCTTCTTACAGCCAGCTATTGACAAAGGGTATGTATTGAACTACATGGCCAAAGTGTGTTAATTATGGGTGGGAATTTCTTTCCCTGCACTCGCCAGAGACAGGAAATTGACAAATAAACTGATAGCCTGACTGCTTGCCACGAAAGTAGAGTTTCATAGATGACACTTCATTTCATGGACACTCTCACTGCTCCAACCTTCAGACATTTCACTGTTTTCATTTGGTTAAAAAAATAAACAAACAAACAAAATAACAACTTCTTTCTTGTACTTTCTTCTCACTGTATCTGAGAGTCAGTCAGTAACTTATTATTTTAACTAGGCAACCCTTTAAAGAGTATTTTTTAAAAATGCATAGCGTTTAACAAAACATTTGTCAGGAAAGTCACTAATGCCAATAGAAGCAACATCTGGGAATGAAAATCTTTTATAGCCACACCAGCAGAACCAGTATCTAGGCATTGAGCACACTGAAAGCCTTACCACTTCTTTGCAGAGAATCTTGATCTGAAAACACATGTGAACTGGAAGAGAGGAGAGAAACATTAATTGTACAGCATCTGCATAAAAAGTATGCAGCAAGGTTGCTGGGGAAAGCTCCTGTTCAATAAAATATTCAAAACATAACTCAGATCCTTGACTGGTAAATGTCAGAATAATAGGGCAAATTAATCCAAAAGCCAGTGCACCCAGGATAAAAATGCCTCATTTTCAGAAACCCCTTAGGTGGATCAGCCCTGACAGGCATTCCAAATCCCTACCATATTGACTAAAGGCTTCATTACCCGTCTTGTCCTATTCATGGGACATTATCCTTGTGTCAAAGACTGAACCAGTTCCAGCCCACAAGCAGGGGAAAACAGGGACAGTGCTGCACCACCCTCAGCTCTTAGTGAGGATCAGAAGCAACACATTGAATTCTTCCAGGATAGAGCAAATGCACTGGGCTAGTATGCCTTCAGCCCCGATTTACAGCCATCTCAAGACAGCTCCTGAGTGGTTCATAGCAATCCCAAATCCCATGAAGCTGCAAGATGGGGCAGAAAGGAAGCACACCTCAAGTGACAACTACAGGCTCATGAAATTTGCAGCCTTCGACATTCTTTGGTATAACTTAGAGGTAAGCCTGCAACTCGTGTATGATCTGCTTTCCTGAACTAGAGAATCAAGCCCAGCAGATTCATATAAATCACCCAAAGACCTACAAGATCAAAGTCCAAGAAACAAGGTTCTCCCTTAGGACCACACTCCACTCCCTGAGTTACAGGAACACTTCCAGCCCCCTACAGTGGGCTACCTACTGATCTAATGACACATGTCCAATTCTCAAGTCTGCCCTCAGCATTCCCTAGCAGGTGAACACATCAGCACTCACAGCTGATGCTCATCCCACACAGACTCTGTAGATACTGCCACACACAGTGCCTTCCAGGCCAAAAGCAATGGTGCGGCCAGACCTGCCTCACAGATGCTTCACATAGAAGTACACCTCCCTCTTCTTTCCTTAACTTGTTTCTTACCACCTTTCCAACCCACCACAGAAGCAAAATACTTGCAAAGTCATACACACAAAGCTCAAATACTTGAAAAGTTATACACCAGCATATAAAGACTAGGAATAAAAGCAGCTTTCAGCATTCATGCATAAAGTGTACCATAAGGTATCTGAAGTGAAGAGTCAAGCCTTGGCCTGCTGGGGAGCCCTTGCACAGCTGAGTGAACCCACTAACATGGATCTGTGTTACCCACTAGCATGTCCTGCAGGAGTTACTCCATCCTAATTTCCAATGTGGCATCCTTAATGGCAGATTAATATGAGTCTGAACAATGTAACACTACCAAAGGAGAAATGTGGGATGGTTCAGAGCCTGTACTGCTTGCTGCCATGCCCTTGCAGTTTGATCACACTGAACGTGTGTTCTGGGTTCATAGGATTCCCAAAGACTGGATACCAAACACAATGTAAACAGCCAAATGCTCTAGTCTATTCATTGAGTTATTAGTGCAAAGCAAATATATACAGAATCATAGAATAGTTAGGGTTGGAAAGGACCTTAAGATCATCTCGTTCCAAACCCCCTGCCATCGGCAGGGACACCTCACACTTAAACCATATCACCCAAGGCTTCCTCCAACCTGGCCTTGAACACCGCCAGGGATGGAGCATTCACAACCTCCCTGGGCAATCCATTCCAGTGCCTCACCACCCTAACAGGAAAGAATTTCCTCCTTATGTCCAATCTGGACTTCCTTGTTTAAGTTTTAACCCATTACCCCTTGTCCTATCACTACAGTCCCTAATGAAGAGTCCATCCCCAATGTCCCTATATGCCCCCTTCAGATACTGGAACGCTGCTATGAGGTCTCCACGCAGCCTTCTCTTCTCCAGGCTGAACAGCCCCAACTTTCTCAGCCTGTCTTCATACAGGAGGTGCTCCAGTCCCCTGAGCATCCTAGTGGTCCTCCTCTGGACTTGCTCCAACAGTTCCATGTCCTTTTTATGTTGAGGACACCAGAACTGCATACAATACTCCAAGTGAGGTCTCAAGAGAGCAGAGTAGAGGGGCAGGATCACCTCCTTTGACCTGCTGGTCATGCTCCTTTTGATGCAGCTGGTATAAGACTCCCTTTTGCTAAAGGCAGTGTTAATCCCCTATTTTCAGGGTTATGTTCCCACAATCCATGCCAAACAGTACTTTTCTATTTCTGTTTGTTTCACCACAGACCATTATCTATTATCACTGACACAACATGGCCTGCCTGAAACCCACAGCAAGGTTGTCAGCCTCAGCAAAGCCCGCTATTTTACATGCAATCTTGTTTACACTTGAAGTTCAAAAGGGCAGCAGGTTCCAATCAGTGTCTCTCAGGTGAGAATGCCCTTCTGCAGACACTCCCTGCAGCCACAAATAGATCTCCTGTGTCCCCTCACAATCTCCTCAGACCCAGAAGCCACAACAGACAAAAGTGGAGTCTGTGCTCCAGCTTCTCACTTTTCTGCCAAACACAGGTCAGATGAGCAGCTTTGCTCCAGACCATCGGAAGGCTGCTCAGTCCCTTCAGCAGCCAGGGCAATAAAGCAGCAGACAGGCTGCAGAGAAAACATAACGCAGCACAGGAAGACAGCTAGGCTCTACAGCACTGAACTGAAAGAACCATAAGAAGATCTTTAGAAGTTCAATGTTGGTAACACTATTTAAAAGCAATCTGGCAGTTTTATTTACAGAGAGCAAGATCAACCTTCCCCTTAGCTGGAACTGTTAAATCCCAGTTACTTCAGGGAGGCTATGCACTTTTAGAACGAGTCTCACTTTCTCTCACTGCTCCTTGGGCAGCAGGGTTAGTGATGGGCTGAGATCTCCAATCCACTTGAAGGTCTCACATTAACAGTGAGCAGTCTTCAGAATGGGTAAAATAATCCTCATTTTGATAGATAGGTTACAAAAGACACAGCCAAAATGGACCAAACCTTGGGGTTTTGCTCGGGAAAAAACCCTCTTTTAGGCCGCTTAATGATTAGGAACACGGGGCATGTTATTTGGCTGAGTCTTATTTTTGTTTTATAGTCATTCTTCATGATAGCTGTGGCTTCAGGCTGGAAAAGACAATTTTGGAGCATTTTTTTCCTGATAATAGCTACAAGTATGAGGCATGCCAGAAGGAAATAAAGGTGAATTATTTAGTTATACTAACTTGAGTTACATTTAGGGTGCACCTTCCAAGAAGGCCACAGATATGAACACTTCCATTTTATGTTGCTGAATGATATACAAATCAGAACGATTGGTTTCAACAACATTTCAAGAAATCAAAAGCCGTACTACATGACTTCAAGATCTTGAGGCCAGAGTTTTGGGGTGGGGGAGTTACCTAGAAGGCCCATATCAGTACTCGGGTTGGGCTGGGTATTGGTCAGCAGGTGGCAAGCAATGGTACTGTGCAACACTTGTGTTTATTGTTTCTTTTCCCCTTTTAGTTTTATATTCTCTCGCCATATTATTTCCCTTATCATTATTATTACTGGTGGTAGCAGTAGTGGTTTGTGCTATACCTTAGTTACTGGACTGTTCTTATCTCAACCTGTGGGAGTTACATTCTTTCAGTTCTCCTCCCCATCCCTTGGGATGGGGGGAGAGAAAAGGGTGTGGGAGTGAGTGAGCAGCTGCAGGGTTCTGAGTTACTGACTGGCTTAAACCATGCCATTATGCTTCCTTATACTTTTAGCTCCTCCCTGCATACACAATTTCAAGCTTATAGCCCATCACTCCAGTTGAAAAATCATCATACTGCAGTGTGCAGAATAAAACACTGGGATGAGCTTCAGAGCAGCCCTGGGGAGAAGGACTTGGGGGTGCTGGTTGATGAGAAAATGAACATGAGCCGGCAGTGTGCGCCTGCAGCCCAGAAAGCCAACCGTATCCTGGGCTGCATCAAAAGGAGCGTGACCAGCAGGTCGAAGGAGGTGATCCTGCCCCTCTGCTCTGCTCTCGTGAGACCTCACTTGGAGTATTGTGTGCAGTTCTGGTGTCCTCAAGATAAAAAGAACATGGAACTGTTGGAACAAGTCCAGAGGAGGGCCACGAGGATGACTAGGGAACTGGAGCACCTCCTGTATGAAGACAGGCTGAGAAAGTTGGGGCTGTTCAGCCTGGAGAAGAGAAGGCTGCGTGGAGACCCCATTGCAGTCTTCCAGTATCTGAAGGGGGGCTACAAGGGTGCTGGAGAGGGACTCTTCACTCGGGACTGTAGTGATAGGACAAGGGGTAATGGGTTAAAACTTAAACAGGGGAAGTTTAGATTGGATATAAGGAAGAAGTTCTTTACTGGTAGGATGGTGAGGCACTGGAATGGGTTGCCCATGGAAGCTGTAAGTCCTCCATCCCTGGAGGCATTCAAGACCAGGTTGGACAGAGCCTTGTTTAGTGTGAGGTTTGTCAGGGGGTTTGAAATTAGATGATCTTAAGGTCTTTTCCAAGCCTAACTACTCTAGGATTCTAGGATTCTATGAGAGGAAACTGGTGTACAATCATGTAATTCATTTCATTCCCCACTGGACTTCACAGAATCCCAGACTTGTTTGGGTTGGAAGGGATCCTAAAGCTCATCCAGTTCCAATCTCCTTCCAATAAACCAGGTTGCTTGAAGCCCTGTCCAGCCTGGCCTTGGGCACTGCCAGGGATGGGGCAGCCACAGATTCTCTGGGCAGCCTGTGCTAGGGCCTCACCACCCTCACAGGGAAGAACTTCTGCGTAAGAGCTCATCTCAGTCTCACTTCTTCAAGTTTAAAGCCATGAAGACTTTATACTGTTCTGGGAAGAGGAAGGGTTATGTTTTCCTGATTGTCAATTAAAAAAAAAATAAATTAAAATCATCACTTAGTTTTCCATCTGGAATAAGGCCAATACCATGGTTATAACAATTAAATCACCTTCAGGAATGCTAACTGATAGGCAAGATCAAGCCTTGAGGAGAGCATATGATGTATATGTGAGGTATAACTCATTGTGAATGCCCCGGTGGAGTTACATCCTGAGCAGGGTGGTTATAACCGGCATCCACAAAGCCCACGAGTCCAGGTGGGAGTTCGTGGCAATGCAGTGTGTCTCCTCCACATCTGTCGTGGTATAAGCCCAGCCAGCAACTCAGAACTGTGCAGCTGCTCACTCACTTTTCCCGTTCTTCCTCCCCCTGCTCCTGAAGGAATGGGGAGGAGAATGGAAAGAATGTAACTCCCATGGGTTGAGATAAGAACAGTCCAGTAACTAAGGTATAACACAAACCACTGCTGCTACCACCAATAATAATAATGATAAGGGAAATAACAAGGGAAGAGAATACAACCACTCACCACATGCCGACCGATACCCAGCCTGACCAGAGCAGTGATCTAGCCCTTCTGGGTGACTGCCCCAAGTTTATATACTGGGCATGATGTGCTGTGGTATGGAATACCTCTTTGGCTAGTCTGGGTCAGGTGTCCTGTCTCTGCTTCCTCCCGGCTTCCCCTCCTCCCTGGCAGAGCGTGAGACTGAAAAGTCCTCCATCAGGGTAACCATTACTCAGCAAAAGCCTAAAACATCAGTGTGTTGTCAGCATTGTTCTCAGACTAAAGCCGAAACATAGCACTGCACCAGGTACTAGGAAGGAGAAAAATAACTGTTACAGCTGAACCCAGGACACCAATCCATAAATAACCAGCCCAAATACACTCAGATATGTATGTTCTATGTTGAATTTAACCTCCCAAGAATGTCAGGAACCCACTGTGAAATTGGATTAGCCCTAATAAAAAGCACTTGGATGACTAATTGCTACATAAACTCCAATTAAATAAGATTATAAGTATAAATAAGTGCATTTTATCAGATGACATTATCCACCTACATAACACAACCAAGTATGCCTTGTTTGCCTGTAAAAGTTCATGTGGGCTCCAGCCCTTGAAGACTTGCACATGAGCAGTCCTTAGTCCACTCAGATGAGTAGCATGAATAATCCTGGCACTCAACAGTGTGAGAAACTATAGACTAGGGTATTGTTTATTAAGATATATGTTAAGCCCAATGTAAAGGTTAGGCAACAAAAGATATGAAACCGCTTATGCAAATAGCCACCGGACACAGCTTACGCAAGATAAGATAACCGCAAACGCTTACACCAACTAAACCAGAGACCGCTTATGCTAACATAAGATAACTGCAAGATGTTCCAGGAACTGGCAGAAATAAGACAAACCACTCCATATAAGGACATAGGAGTAGAGGGGTCAAAAGAGGAAGACTTCTTACTTCGGCCTCAATGACCACCAGGAGGCAGAAAACGACCCCCTAACAACAACTGAAGCATGCGCAGAGTACCTCCACTACCTCATGAACACGGAAGTAAAGATGTATAAAAAGGGGGCTGTTTGAACTGATCAGCACGGCAGTTGGCGGAGCGCAGACTCCCCTGTCGTCCAGCGCTGTTTTTGCTCATATTCTACTTGCTATAATTAATAAAATTTTAATTGGATTATGATCCGTTGTGGTCTCAATTTATAACAATTTCTGGTGCCGTGACTCGGATAAGGAACGGTGGGCTTTGGTCCTCCGGGGAGGCGCCCCGCGACATTTCGCGGCCCCGCGACCAACAGCTTACCCCAACCTTACCGACGAACCTAAATTCTAGAATAATGAGCAAAGGAGAAACCGGTAAAATCCCATAAAAATTCTGTGCACGGGAGTCCGGACGAAGACGCAGGACGCGTAAGTATATTGCGAATTTGTTCGCGGGTTTGCCGTTCGGGCGGGATTGGGTTTCCTGGAATATAACGAATGAGAGGTTCGATATACTGAACCAAGCGAGTGTGGACCCTTAAGTACTGCATTTCCCATCTCCCGCGAGGGACTGGGCCAGGAACAAGGGGGAGCGAGTGAGTGTGTGTTTGAGGATATTCCAGAAGATGGGGGCGAAGGGCAGCAAGCTTTCGACTCCCATGGGAAGGGTACCCACTGTACCTAAGAATACCCCTCTGGCATATATCTTAGACAATTGGAGATATTTCCCTGGAACCCTAGGGAAAGTTAAGCAGAAAATGATAGAATATTGTACTAAGATATGGGGAGGGAAGAAGATTTCTAAAAATGTCTTTTGGCCAGTCTATGGGTCAGAAGAAGATTGGGTAAGACAGCAATTAAACCTCTGGGTTAATAATAAAAAACTCCTTAACCCGGAGGAGAGTCAATATGCGGAAGTGTGGCTAGAAAGACCGGGAGCTAGACTTTATCCGCTGAATGAAATAAAAACTAAACAAAAGAAAAAGAAGGAAGAGTTAGACGAAACCCTTCTAACCCCCTCTCCTTACATTCCTCCTCCTGTTCCCGCAGCCCCTCCAGAGGTCCCCAGAGCGCCCACTCCCCCACCCGAATGGGAACAAGGGTCTCCCCCTCCTCCTAGACGCGTAACTAGAAGTCAAAAAGGGGCAGCTCAGATGTACCTCCTAAGGGAAATACCCACGGGGGGACCTCAACCTGTGATTGGATATATTTCTGTACCCTTAAACTCGACTGACCTACGAGATTTTAAAAGAACCGAGATGGGAAACTTAATTGAGGACCCACTCGGAGTGGCAGAAAGACTAGATCAATTTTTGGGACCAAACCTTTATACTTGGGATGAGATGCAATCTATCCTTGGTCAATTATTTACTACCAAGGAAAAAGATGTGATTAGATGAGCAGGAATGAGACTGTGGGATGCTCAACATGCCCAGGGACCTCAAGCAGATATTAAATGGCCACTCCAAAGACCTAATTGGGATAATCAGGATCCGGTGCATAGGACTCATATGCAGGACCTGAGAACTATGGCAATTCAGGGAATTAGAGAAGCAGTACCCCGTGGCCAGAATATCAATAAAGCATTTAATGAAATGCAAAAGAAAGATGAAAGCCCTACTGAGTGGCTGGAACGACTGAGGAAAGCCCTTCAGCTGTACTCTGGGGTAAATCCAGACGACCCTTTAGGGCAAGCGCTCCTCAAAACTCAGTTTGTGGCAAAATCATGGGAAGATATCAGAAAGAAGATTGAAAAGTTAGAAGACTGGCAGAATAGAGGGTTGGATGAATTATTGAGGGAAGCTCAGAAAGTCTACGTAAGGCGGGAAGAAGAGAGCAGCAAGCGACAAGTAAAAATGATGGTAGCAGCGGTCAGAGAGGATCGCAAAGGGCGAACTGGTGAACACAGATCTGCTAGGACGAAACAAGGGAACGTAGTAGTAGAAAAGGAACAGAGATATTGTTTTTACTGTGGAAAGAAGGGACATATAAAAAAGAATTGCAGAGAAAGGATCAGGGATGAGGAAATATTGAAAACGGAATAGGAGAGTCAGGGGCTCTATATCTTAGGGGACCGGAGTCATCATGAGCCCTTGATAAAATTAAAAATAGGTCCCCATAAACAAGAGTTCACCTTTTTAGTAGACACTGGGGCTGAGAAATCAACCATTAAGCAACTACCTGAGGGATGTAAAGTGTCCCCTGAAAAGGTACAAGTAATTGGGGCAAAAGGAGAACCCTTTAAAGTAAACAAAATCAAAAATGTGGTATTCGAAACTGAAAATAAATTTGGAATGGGTGAACTCTTGCTCGTCCCTGAAGCAGAATTTAATCTGTTAGGATGAGATTTAATTGTTGAATTGCAATTAGAAATTAAAGTAAAAAATCAAGAGCTAACAGTGTCCGCTTATCCTTTGACCGTGGATGATCAAAAACAAATTAACCCTGATGTCTGGTACTCTCCGGACACAATTAGTAGACTGGAAATTCCACCGATTAAAATCCAAATTTCCGAACCCCACATATCTGTGAGGGTAAGGCAATATCCCATATCCCTAGAAGGACGGAGAGAATTAAAACCAGAAATTGATCGATTGTTAACACAAGGAATCTTAGAGCCTTGTATGTCACCCTTTAACACCCCCATTTTGCCTGTAAAGAAACCAAATGGGAAATATCGGCTTGTACATGATTTAAGAGAAATAAACAAGAGAACTATCACCCGGTTCCCTGTAGTAGCAAATCCATACACACTGTTAAGCAAGCTAGGACCCCATAACTCCTGGTATAGTGTGGTTGATTTGAAGGATGCCTTTTGGGCCTGTCCACTGGCAGAAGAATGCCGTGATTATTTTGCCTTTGAATGGGAAGACATAGAGACAGGCCGTAGACAGCAACTGAGATGGACTGTGCTTCCCCAAGGGTTCACTGAGTCCCGTAATCTGTTTGGACAGGCCCTGGAAGAGCTCTTAAAAGAATACCAGGTACAAACAGGGAACGTGCTGTTACAGTATGTAGATGATCTGCTCATAGCAGGGAATAATAAGGAGGATGTAAGGAAAGAAAGCATTCGACTTCTAAACTTTCTTGCACAAAAGGGCCTACGGGTATCACAAGAAAAGTTACAATTTGTGGAGGAAAAAGTGAAATATCTGGGACATTATCTATTTAACGGCCAGAAGATATTAGATCCAGAGCGTATTAAAGGAATTCTGGAATTACCTATGCCTGTCACTAAGAGGCAAATTCGGCAGGCATTAGGGCTATTTGGGTATTGTAGGCAATGGATAGAGAACTACAGCTTTAAAGTTAAATTCTTATATGAACAACTGTCTAAAGACAAAATACCCAAGTGGACTCCTCAGGATCAAGAGCAGTTTGCCAGTCTCAAAAGGGAGCTAAGTCAAGCACCGGTTTTAAGTCTCCCAGATTTAAAGCGGCCATTCCATTTATTTGTTAACATACATGAAGGAACGGCATTCGGAGTATTAACTCAGGAATGGGCCGGACAAAAGAAACCGGTGGCATACCTATCAAAGCTGTTGGACCCTGTGAGCAGGGGTTGGCCGAGCTGTTTACAAATCATTGTTGCTGCTGCCTTATTACTTGAGGAAACGAATCGCATTACCTTTAATGGAGAAGTTGTCTTATATGTGCCTCATAACATCAGGGGAGTGTTACAACAAAAAGCAGAAAAATGGCTTACAGATAGCCGATTATTAAAGTATGAGGGAATACTTATAGAATCCCCTAAGCTATCTTTGAAAACTATTGGAGCGGTTAACCCCGCTGAATTTTTGTACCCAGGAGAAGGTAATGAACTATTGCACAATTGTTTTCAAACAATTGAACAACAGACACGCATTAGGCCAGATTTAGAAGAAGAAGAACTACAATGTGGAGAAGTATTATTTATAGATGGGTCATCACGAATAGTGGAAGGTAAACGATTGTCCGGATATGCCATCGTTAAGTTGGAAAAAGGAGAATTTAAGACAATAGAATCAGGCCCCCTGAGTGCCAGCTGGTCGGCTCAAGCCTGTGAGCTGTATGCATTGTAGAAAGCATTAGTGTCACTGAAGGGAAAGGATGGAACTATATATACAGACTCACGCTATGCATTCGGAGTAGTACACACTTTTGGAAAAATATGGGAGGAAAGAGGATTTGTTAACTCACAGGGAAAAGAACTGATACACCCGGAATTAATTCAGTGAGTTCTGGGGGCATTGAAAATGCCAAATAAAATAGCAGTTGTACATATAAAGGGACACCAGCGAGGTACAAGTTATCAGGTTAGGGGAAATAATGCAGCTGATACAGAAGCAAAACGGGTGGCAGGCAATTATAGTACGATTTTGACTATGCAACAAGTACCTGTTAGTAAAAATTTGAGTTTTGAGTCTGCAGAAAAGGAAAAACTAGAACAAATGGGAGCTAAGGAACAAGATGGGAAGTACATATTGCCAGATGGGAGAGAAGTCTTGCCGAAGGGCATAGCACTCGAAATATTTTCAAAAATACACAGTAAAACACACTGGGGAACCCAGGCGTTAGTTGATCATTTCAATCAACAGTTTGCCTGTATAGGCGTATATAACATAGCAAAGACAGTCACGGCAGCCTGTGAGACCTGTCAAAAGGTTAATCGAAGCAACATGAGACAAAAACCTCTTGGAGGACGTTCCCCAGCGTACAGACCTTTCTCACACATACAAGTGGACTTTACTGAACTACCTAGGGTAGGGCGTTACAAATATTTATTAGTAATGGTGGATCATTTAACACATTATGTTGAGGCTTTTCCTACCTCCAGGGCAACTGCTAACCAAGTTACTAA